TCCATGTCTCCAACAAAGATGTTAACATCTTTGGAAATGGAAAGTCACACATTTAAACAACAGACTGAAAGTTCTGTTTTGATTCTAACTGTAACTGACCTAAATATGATAACTTTGCTTGTTTGGTGGATCTGAGTTTTGGGGGTTTTGTTTTGGAACTGTATAACTGGAAAAAAAATAGCTCATACACTGTTAGCATGGGCAGTGTTGCTAATTGTTTCTCATGTAAATGGCCTAAAGCACATTTCTGTAATGTTGCATGTATTCAAAATGTATTTCCAGTAAATGCTAGTTGAGGCTTTGTGTGATTAGTATTTCTGTTGATGTAATCTTCAGGTGTCATACAATAAGTACCAAATAAAACTACCTGTATGTCTTCCTCCTATCCATGAACATTTTGTTAAAATGGCTTATTCTGATAAAGGCAGGAAAAAGTTCAGTTTTGTGAGCTCGTGATCAAGGTAACCTGACTCATTCTGCATCCCTTGCTGCCCCCACAGTCTGCAGTGGTGATGGAGATCAACAATCCTTACGTTTCAGCTCTTGATTAATCCCTACATTTCCATCCCTAATATGCTTTAAGTGATGTAACAGTATTACAAGGAATGTGGTAGATAAACATTGCAAGAGGCCTTTGCCTGTACTGCTGTGCAAAAGAAGATGAAATCTGCACGCCTAGCTCGGAAACCCTTGCCCTCCTCACAGTGCCTTGCACCTGGTGATAACCTCTGTTTCAAAGAAGTGTCATTTATAGAAAACTGACCATAATGGGATTCCAAGCAAATTGTTGTAACCATTATAAAAATGAGGGAGGTGAAAATTTCTTGGACTTCTAGAATTTATATTTGTTGTTTAGACCTTTCTTTAAAGTCCCCTCATTCCATGCAGAAACACTGACAATCTCTTTGGGGATACCAGCATATTTTTTTTTATTTCATACCTATGAATACAACTTGCTTTCCTAGCAGTATTTTAAAAGGAGGCTTTATTATGCCATTAACTGCTCTTCAGGGAAATGTGACTTGTATCTTCTGTTCTTACAGTCATGTCCCTTGTCATCCCTGCCAGCCAGACTGGATGAGGGAAAGGAGAGCAAGAACTCTTTGAGTACTAATAGTTTGTAGATGGCTTTTGAGCTATGGAAGTGTTAGTCTTATCTCACATGTAGCTTCTTCCTCAGTTTGAAGTCCTACTGGCAGTTTTAAAATGTTATCAGCCATGCTGTATATTTGAATTTAATTTGCAGCACATCATCTGCTTGGTTGGCGTACTTGGGCTTTCATTTTATTTGTGGACATACTGTAAGTTGCTGTATACAGGAAATGTTAAATAACATTTATTCACTGCAAGGAAAATATGGAATTGAGCTATTGTCATCCAGTCACACTTGGTTTTGTACAGCATTTTTCATGCAAATTATATTTGAATGCTTTAGAAGTAAATAATACTGAAGGGGTAAAGAGGCATTTTCAGTAAACATTGCAAGGAGAAAGAATATTCCTCTTTTTACAGAAATTAGGTAGTCAGATGAAAGATGACAGAAAGGTATGTGTATTTGTGTTTGAACTGAGGATGCAGTGCTCTTTCCTATGTATCGCAAGATAAGTAAAAAGATAGAAACTAGGACAAAACAACCAGTGATTTTGAGAAGAACCAAATCGGCGCCACTGTTCCAGTATTTCTAGTCAGAAATAAGATTTGTTCTCTACTGGAAAGGAAGGTCTTGGACTATTTTCAATTAACCCATATTTTTGTTGTCTTGCAGAGCATTTCTGTGTAGCACTTGATTAGCTACTATGAGCCTGCTATATAGTGATAACGGTTGTGGAGCCCAAGACGCGGAAAGCGGCTGCTGTGCAGCCATGGCCAGCGCCTGCAGCGTCGGAGCGAAAGAAGACAGCGTAAGCATCAGCAGTGGGACTGGAAACCCCCCAAGTTCTTTCACAGAAGAAACCCAAGGATATGATGTGGAGTTTGATCCACCCTTGGAAAGTAAATATGAATGTCCAATATGTTTGATGGCTCTTCGGGAAGCAGTGCAGACACCATGTGGACACCGTTTCTGCAAAGGCTGCATTGTCAAATCAATAAGGTAAAGGAAAACTGATGGATGTTGCTTTTAAGAAGAAATTCACTTATTAAAAGCAGAGCAGTTTAAGGGCAATGTAAACTGGATAGAACTGCTTAAGGTGCATTACCAGTGAGTGCTAATAGAACGCTGGGAATTTATAAATTGTTAAAGATGCTTTCTAAAAAACGCCATGTATGGCCAAAATGTCATGAGTCAGGAGGTTGCATGAGCTTTAGATATTTTTGCCATTTATACAAATTTACCCAGGTTATGAAGCTAAAAATTTGATTTAGTAAAATTAAATAATAATTTAAAACCAAGTAGCCAAATCCTCCCAATAAATTCCATTTTCAGCCCAGGATTATAAAACCTCTTTTCCCTGTGATTGTTTCTAATAACTACAGACAGCATGGTTTCTTGGTGCAGATATGGCAATTCATGTTTTGAGTTCTTCAGCTGAAATCAGCCACTTTCTTGTTGAGCTGGAAGAGAGAATGTAATGAGGGAATAGTCTTGAACGAAGCATTGAGAGAGGAAACTAGGTGGCATATGAGGGAGCTGGAATGAAATATGAAGGCACGACCAGGCTGGGCTCATAAAAATGAATGACTGAAAGAACAAGGAAGGGCAGAAAGTACACTGGTAGGTTGTACTTCCCTCAAATCTGCGACACAGTCATCAGTGTCCCACACATGTCAGTGAGTATTGGAACACATTGATACAAGGCTAGATATTACGCTGTAGGGTTTTTCCTTCTCGGTATAGGCCAGACTTTTTCTCATCGATTGCTCACTTAGCTCAAATGTCACTACTTTGGTAGGAATCTAACTATTTAATTCTGTGTGACACGTACAGAATTGGTTAATTTCCAACCTTACTTTGCACACCTTTGTGTAAAGATTATCAAACTGTCTTCAGTGTTACTGTACGATGTTGTTTTTCCCAGGCATTTATTTTTAGCATGCAAAATGGACAGTGCTTTCTTGATTGATTTTCCATACCATTTGTTCATAGTTCTATTCCATTTCTTTTTCTCCACAGTCCATCATTTGTAGCTCACTAAGTGAATAGTATGCTAGCAACGATGTTCTCCGAATACAGTATTTTGTGGGTTTTGTGGGCTTCTCTGTAGTTTCTGTCACTGTTATATCTGATGCTACTGTATTTCTTCATGGCATCCCTTTTAGATCAAGGAGGGGGAGTCGAGTATGAGAAGACAAACTTGATTTTGCGTTCAGTACTTACGATAGCAAAAGAGCAGGCTGTTTTCCTCTCTAGCGGACACAGAAATTTATTGTGCATGCTTGCAAGCACACAGTTCTTGTTAACATTAGTTTCATCAATATTTCTGAGAAAAGGACGCAAATTCATTATCCAGAAAATGCAGAATAGCACCAGTGTTCACCCATGAAAAGTGACTCGCGTGTGGATTCTGCAGAGGAAGTGAGAGAGACTCAGTTCTCCACTAATCATACCACCCTGCTCCCTTAGTCCCTTGCTTTGTTCACTCGGTTCCTGCTTCTGCAAGAAAAGTACATGAGGTCTTGCCCAACTGCATCACTCCATGCTATTTGCGTCAGCCAGGTGCGTGGAAGAAGGCAAAAAAACCCAACCCTGAACCTGCCAGCTTTGACTGTAATCCAGTTCCCTAGGCACAAGCAGTTGGCTTCACTTCCTGTCCTTTGCTTTGCACATTCCACCCTAAATTCTTTCCGGATGTTAATGTACATCATTTCATGTGTGCTTGTAAGCATTGATTTAGAAGGTTGTACTAATAAAGGACATGAAATTTTGGAATTCCTTACTTGTTCTCTCAGAGCTTGCTCTATTTGTTGGCAGTAGCAGTTTTTATACTCTTCTTTAACTTGGGTATTTCTGGTAGAAAGAAAATAAATCTTTAAACATTCTCATGGTCTATAAATCCTGAAGGTAAATTAGTCAGTACTTAAGTATATCGAGCTTTAGAAATGTCTACTGACCAATCATTTCAAAGACAACAGAATTCCTAGGTTGAAAACTGAGAGGGAAAATGACTAAACTTAAAATTCCCAAAAATGAGTGTCTCATTTCCAGTCTTTCAGATCTGTAACAGCTAAGGCGATCGTGTTTTCTAATCCTGCTGCTGATGAGCTGCACAGTTAGTCTTCAGTTAGAATTTACCACAGGACTGAGTGAGGTAAGGCAGTGAACCCTTGCTCAGAACTCAACATCTCATTGCAGGTAGAGAAACTTCCTTCTTAAACCCCAGGCATGGGAAATGGTTTCTCTTCCTTTTTCAAGCAACAGAGCATTTGCTCTGCTCAGTGTTCTAGGTCTGCAAACAGTTTCAATGACCAGAGCTTTTGCTTCTTTTATAGCCCCTCCCTATTTTACTTCATTTCTGTAGATAGTGTTGAGTGTTTCGGTGAATACTAAACACAGGTGGGAAGCATTTTTCACCATAGATCATCACTGTGATATTTCAGATGTCTCATTCCCCGCTGAAATCTGTCTTTGGAGTGCAGTTTGAGTGAATGCTTGTGAAAGCAGAGCGGAAAACTTTAATTGCCAGACCCCTCTGAATCCCTGAAGGGCTGAATTACCTGCTTAATTGGGAGCCATGGATCAAGCTATTGATTTGGAGCATGTAATTATCTACAGTACCATATTGACTGATGTCATTGAGAAGCTTCTACAGACCTAAAATGAAAATGGAAAATGATTTTTACATTCTCTAAGTACTGGGTGGTGGTTTTTTTTTTCATAAAGTGATTGTCACAGCCTTTATTTGATCAGGAGAAAATTGCTTCTGTTTATTCCTCTTTTCCCCACTGTCTAGCTGAAGTGAACACAGAGATTAAGGATTTTAAATTATAAAGGATGGACAAGCAGTTTTTGCTTGTGACTTACACAAACAATTGTAGTTGTCCATGTTGAAGAAGTTGTGGCTGTAACTAGAAAGAGTTGTTTAAAAAACTTCTAGAGACTGGCATCTTAGATCTTATGATGTGAGGGACATGATTAGACCAGATGGATTTGATCACAGTAAATGTTTGCCTCCAAGAAAGCCTGGGCATCTTTTTAAGTAAAGCTGTCTGGAGTGCTTTGAGTCATGGTAGTGAAGAAGGTTATCTACCTAAGGAACTACAAATAATAGTTTACAAATGTTACTGTCTACGAGGTGCTTGACTAGAAATTTTAGAAGGACTAAGTTCAGATGCAGTAGCTAATGAAATTTCACTCTAGTCTTCCTTCTCCTGTATCTTAGGTCAAAGCCGACTTAGGGCTTGTAGCAGAGCTTGCCAAATACCAGAATACTGGAAAAGTCGAATTATGAGCTGACAAGAGGCAGCAAGAAAAGTTTTGGGTGCTAGTAGTTCATCAAACAGCTGGCATGGCTGCAATTAAACTGTATGCCAACTGTTTCAGCTTCTAGGCTGAAATCACGGAGCAAGCTTTTTCTTCAAACACACTTGTTCTTGCTTTACTTGTCATAGGTATATTTCACTTTCAAGGGAAATTATAGGAATGTTCATTGTACTTTGTAGCAGATGATTATCGTTTCCCAGGAACTGTTGTGGGTGGCACAGCCCAATGTGATAAAAAATTCCAGCATAGGAAAGCCTCGGCTGTAGTGTAAATTAGAACGGAGGTGCATAAGCTCAGTTCTGTGATAGGAAATCTATAGCAACATCTGTGATGGATCTAAGCAGCCTTTTAAACACAACCACAATACTTGTAAATGGTGTTTGCAGTCTGTTTAATATCGTACAATAAGTTACTGCTCTTTCCTTACTATAATCACTGGAAAATTGCCATTCATTCTTATTTCACCCTTTGCCTGCTAGTTATTGAAAATTAATCTGTTGTTGGCTGTTGTTAGACATGATTAGCTTTCCTGGGTAGAAATAAGGCTGCTGTCTTACCAGCAGGCCTCCTGAACTATCACTGCACTTCAGTGAACAGGGCATTTGTAACCAAGTTCTACCTGGGAAAACTGCTTTCCTGTAGGTTCCCTGCAAAGTGAGGGAACGTTTCTGGGTTGTGACAAAGATCAACCTGCTGATTGTAGCTCAGGGAGCTATGAAACAAAATTACATGCAAAGTGTTTTCTTTTTTCCACTTGTTTAGGAGTTTGACTCTCAGACTTGTGGTGAGCTACCTCTTGCAAGCAAAACCTAGGACAGGAAGTTCATTGTCTTTTTCTGAAGTCTCAACTTTACCCCCACTTCCTCTACCAGCATTGCTGATTAAGGAGTTGCTGAGCAATTATTTCCTTTTCCAACAAAGAATACAAATTCCTTCCTGGTCTCCACAGCCCACTAGGTTCTGCTTCCCCTCGTGCTTGGAAGCACTGACAATGATCTGGCCTTTGATCTTTGCACCAAAAGTGCTCTCTGACATTTTTCCGCTCCATGTATTTTTCCATTTTCTTGCTGTTTCCATTAGCACTTCAGCTGAGAAGCTTTTATCCCTCATGGCTCTTTAAGTGTATTACTTAATTGTGAATAGATATGTTGACCTACTGCTTTCAGAAATGAGCTGATAGCGGATAATTTTTCAAAGGCAAATTTGGTGGACGTGATCCCTTTTTTACTCCATTTCTGATGATTCTTGTGTTTAAATGCAGGTAGATAGAACCTGATGAAGTGGAACAGGCTGGTAGTTCTCTTGTGCAAGTTGCATGCACTCGTGTTCCACCATCCAGCTCCAAACTTTCACCGGTTGGCACTGACTTCCAGTCTCTTTGCTATTAAAATGGCTTGAGAGACAACACCCAGTTCCAAATCCAGTGTAATTTTCATAGTTATTAGTAATTTTTGTGTCTGGAGTTTTTTCACCCTTCTTTGCTGTATAAATAAACAAATTGAAGGATGACCAGCTGCTTAAATGGTTGTACAACAAAAACTGTGAAATGGGCTATATGAAAAGTAATGCCAAATATATGAAATGAATCTGGAAACAAAAGATGGGTTTGCTTTTTGTCTCAGCTGTGATCACCCTGACTGTTTATGAAGTGAGAAAGAAAGGAGAGAATGTCCAAGAATCTTTAAAGGATTGCTTTGAAATACTATGTGAAATATTCTTTGATGTTTGAGCTATGTGAAATACAGAAATGGCACCATAAGTTCTTAGTTTTTTTACATCCTACTCAAGTTGAATTCCAGAGTATCTATCATGGCATTTGTGCATATAAAAACTATTGAGGTAGAAAAGTGCTGCAATCCCAGACATGCCACTTGTAGTGAAACTTGTGTATTGTCAATTTCTCTGATGTACATTGCATACTTTCTGGTAATTGCCACATAAATGCCATTGTTTTCAAAGACTTTCTTAATGTGTTGTAATTTGGTGACTAATCTCTTGCTAGTGTAAAAATATTTTAAATGAAGGGTGAAGAAAACTTGGAATGTCTTTTTCCTTTCGTTTCTGCATTGTAGAGATGCAGGTCACAAATGTCCAGTAGACAACGAAATTCTGCTCGAAAATCAACTTTTCCCTGACAACTTTGCTAAACGGGAAATCCTTTCATTAACGGTTAAGTGTCCCAACAAGGGCTGCAGTATGAAGATGGAACTGAGGCATTTAGAGGTGAGAATTAATTTTGAAAATATGGACAAGTAAAAATTCAAAATAACTTAACATAGATGGTCATACCTGATACCTGGTTTTGCTGATACAGTGCATTGTTCATTGAAGACTATAGCTACATGTATTTGTTTTTTGATGAGTCTTTAATTGTAATTAGGTGATTCTCAAGTGAACGTGTAGGGTATGAGAACTGTACTAATGCAGCTTTCTCTTCAGGATCATTTATGTTAGTCTTTTGATCAGCTGCATCTGTACTTCACGTAAGTTCCCTAAAGTCAGTTTAATATTCCCACAAAGCAGCTAAATATATTAGTTAAAATAATTGTTTTGGAAAATAATATACAAAGTTACAAGGATAAATATAAAGCTGAATTTTTACTTGAGAGCGTTCTTAAAGCTCTGAATACATGTAGTCTTCATCTTAGTAATGGGACTATAACAGGCTGCTGGTAAAGTCAGCACAAGTGTATACTTCGAAAGATTGCAGTTTGTTCCTCGTGTACTGTTCTTTGTCTTGAAAACAGATGAGACAATAGTACCTGTTTGTCATATCAAATCCCTCTTTGTCCTTTGCAGGACCACCAGTTGCAGTGCGATTTTTCCACTGTGGAATGCCCACAGTGCCAAGGAGCCTTCCAGAAGAACCATCTGAAAGAGCACATGACACAGGAGTGTCCGAGGCGTCAAGTCTGCTGCTCAAACTGTGCCACATCCATGGCCTATGAAGACAAAGAGGTACTTAGCAGGAGCCTGTTTTTCAACCTTCATTCACATGGGTTTGCTTGTAAATGGAACATCAGGGGTTTTTGGTGTTTTTTTCTTTTAAAAAAAAAAGGTTTTAGTCTAGAAGAACTCATTGTGCTGCACAGGTGAGAAGCTACAAACTCAAGACATTAGAACAGGTGGAAGCTGGGGAGAGGATTGTGTTTAAATGCAAACTTCTTGGGAACTCTTTGGTGTGAAAAGACTCGTGTAAGAACCATTGATTTTTGGCCTTGCCACCAGAGAGGCCAGTATTCACTGCCAAAGTAACACACAAAGCAATACTTACATTTACAGTTTTTATGTCTGGCAGAAAGAATGTGTCAGGAGGTGCATCTTTTGGGGATATCTGCTAACGCAAAAGACCAAGATCACTTCTGAATTCTCTTGGCTCTGCCTTTTACTGGGGTGATACTGAGGATAGTCCTTTCCTTTTTGAGCTTCTGTTTCTTTATCTGTATATGAATGTGTTTTATCTCTGGGGCTGTTAATTTTGTGATATCATATTGTGAATTGTCAAACAAAAATCCCCCATATAGTTCAACAGTTAACAAACTTCAGAATAGTTCCACTGCAATTGAACATGAATTTCAGAAATTTCTGGATAAATTCAGGAGCATAAGAGCTTTAGGAAATAAAATACTTGTAACTTTATGAACCTTTTGTGTGAGTCCAGAAAAAAACAGTAATTATAAAAAACATGCTATTCAGGGTAAGGGGATTGTCTTTGTTTCACAGTTGCATTCTGCTAAATGCAAAATTTGAAATGTAAATAAAAATTTAACATCTTATCAGAGGTGATCAGTACTCTCTTAAATTGTGTAACTATATTCATTCTTTCTTTCCCCTCTTTTTCTCTGTTTGATAACTAAGCTTCATGACCAAACCTGCCCACTCGCCAATGTATGCTGTGAATATTGCAACACGGTGCTCATCAGAGAGCAGGTAAGAGACTCTCTTTCTCTGTGTTTAATCTGCGTCAGATGTTTTGTATTTACATTGCTTCTTTAACCTGAAATTAAACTTGAAGAAACAGTTTGTCTACCAGCTCATAAATCTCTACCTGTCTCTTTCTGGAAATGTTACATCCAGTGCAGGTGTAATACTCTTTTAAATGCTTCTCCAGCTTGCAATTGCTGTCTGGTAAACTCTGTAGGATTTTTGGCTGTAAATCCCATTGTTTAGCTATATTATTTCTTGACAGGGCCCATGCTGCATGTTTTTGATCTTGAAGTTAAAGAAAGCAGCTGACACTGGTTATGGCTGACATTAGAAGACAAAACTTTTATTTGGGCAGAGAGGGAGAGTATTTGTAATTGGCAAGCCACTGTTGGAAAGTAGCTATAAATACTTTACTGTCAGACTGTAGATGCTGTCTGGAATGTTGCTTGTCCATTGCTATTGCAATAGCCGTTATTATTTCTCCTAGTCAATAATAACTTCATTGATCCATGTTATTTAATTTGCAGCCTATCCCTGTTTGAATGGGATAGCAACTACATTAATGACCTGGGTTAAAATAAGGAATGATCTGTCAAATTGGAGAAATACTCCGAAAACCAGGATTGAGTTCAGTAACAACAAAGGCAAAAATCTGTCATTAGGTAGAATAATGAACTGAAAAACTAGGGAACAGAGAATGCTAAACTAGGTCATGGTTTAGAATTAATGGCTGACCTATATTAAGCTTGTGTTCTACTTCATTCTGATATTTAAGCACGACAAACATACTGGGCTATAAAAACAGGTATTTTTCCCATAAAACCCAGGATAATCCTTTGCTCTGTTTAGGGCTTGTATAGACTTAGCTGAAGGTGTACAGCTTTTCTAGGGGGGGATGGACAGGGAGGATCCAGATCAGTGAGATAATTGGATCAGGAAAACATGGACCATAAAAAAAATTGAAGTAACTTGAGCTTTTTGAGGAAGAGAATAATGAAGAGAGACACAAGTATGTGTAAGTAGTGCTTCAGAAAAGGAGGAAATGGACTGTGATCTAGCTTGAGGATAGGCTAGAAACAAAAGACATTGGTTCTAGCTAGAAAACCTGAATGCTTTCTGATGCCTAATGTAAGAACAAAGGCAGTGAATTGTTTAAGTATATATAGGGGGGATGTAGAATTTTTATCATCAGCTAACATTTTTATTCAAAACTCGCATGTTCCTTTGAGAAATTATCTAGGTATAAACCGATCTAACTTCAAGTACCTATTCAGAGTCCATCCAGCCGTATTCGCTTAGGATGTTAGAATACCCTTGATGGAAAAATTAATTCCAAATCTGATTTGTTTTAGATGCCTAACCATTATGACAATGATTGTCCTACTGCCCCAGTGCCATGTTTTTACAGTGCCTTTGGGTGTCCTGAAAAGGTAAGCTTTTTATCAGAATCAATAAATTGCAGACCTTTTGCATATTTATGTTGAGTTTTTTAAATGTGTTTTCCTATTGTCTCATTCACCAGCCCAGATCCTCAGTGATTTGTGGGGTTTTTTGTTTTGAGGTATCTTCATTCTAAAACACTACATGTTGATACAAGGCCTTTCAAAGGTCCTTTTCAGATTTCAAGAACTCTGTGAATTATTTGCTTGATAAACTTGCTTTTATTAATCCATGAGTGTGTTCTGAGCATTCCTGTCAATAAAGTAGCTTCTAGCATTTCTTCCACAGTTGTGACCAAATACAGTTATGGCTCTTAAGCGTTCAGTGAAGAAAGCCTGTCAGTGCTTTAAATTTAATTAAATTCTAAAATTATTTAATCTGGATACTCTTATTTGTAGTTGTTTAATACCTCTTTGTAAAAATGGATCTGTTCCTTTCATCATTTCCACATCAGTTTTCATAAACCTTTGTATTTGGTACTATGGAGCATTTTAGCAAATCAATGAAGGGAATACCATGCTGATTTAGAACACAGAAAAAATAACTAATGGTATGTTTATCACTAACACTTTTTCACCATGTCACTATTTTAAGTTGAACAATATTTGCCCACTGGCACTTGAACTTCTTTTTTAATTTGTTATAACAGTGTTCTAAAATTTGGAGCCCTCCATTAGGAGAGTGCAACTTTGTCACATTACTTGCCCTTGATTCACATTCTGGTTTTTCTCACATAACAGAAGCAACTCGTTGTTTGGTTTTCTTCAGAGCCGCATTTAAGATGTGATTGCGGATACTGTTTGGTATGTTCCTAATACCACATCTCTTCAATTCTAGATGCAAAGGAATGAATTGGCACGACATATGCAGGAGTTCACTCAGGTTCACATGAGAATGATGGCTCAGAGTTTTCAAAGTATCAGTGTTACTGCTACAAATCCTGTACCCTTCATCAACGGCCTACCCTTTGAGCCTGCGCTCTTCTCACATGTGTCACATGCTGCATATGATTGTAATCCAGAAGTTGAAAACTTCAAAGAAACTATTCAGCAATTGGAAGGTCGTCTGGTGAGACAAGATCACCAGATTAGAGAACTCATTGCTAAAATGGAGACTCAGAACACTCACATGGCAGAACTCAAACGTACTATCCGAAATTTGGAGGGCAAAATTACCGAGATGGAGGCACAGCAGTGTAATGGTATTTATATCTGGAAGATTGAGAATTTCAGTGGACTTCAGAAAGCCCAGGAAGAAGAGAGACCTGTTGTGATACACAGTCCTGGCTTCTATACTGGAAAGCCTGGCTACAAGCTGTGTTTGCGCCTGCATATCCAGTTGCCAAATGCTCAGCGTTGTGCTAATTTTATATCTCTCTTTGTCCACACTATGCAAGGAGAATATGACAGCCATCTGCCTTGGCCTTTCCAAGGCACTATACGACTTTCTATTTTGGATCAATCAGAAGGCCCTGAAAGGCAGAATCATGAAGAAGTTATGGAAGCCAAGCCAGAGTTATTGGCCTTCCAAAGACCAACAATTCACCGCAATCCAAAAGGTTTTGGTTATGTGACTTTCATACACCTGCAAACCTTGAAACAAAGAACCTTCATAAAGGATGATACCCTTCTGGTGCGCTGTGAAGTTCAAACGCGTCTAGATCTAAACAGTCTCCGCAGAGAAGGATTTCAGGCTCGCGGTACTGATGGAGCTATGTAGCCTGTAAGTCTTAACCAGAGGAATGGAGCCACTACTCATGTTCTTTCACCACAGATTACAAGTGTGCTTCATGGTCCATATAGGCTGCACTTGTAAAAGATCATAGTTGCCAACATAGTTGATCTTCACCTGAATAGAACTTTGTTGTTGCTGGTAAACTTTTTTTTTTCTGTATGACGTCATGCGTTCAAATATTTGGTATTGTTCTCTATTAAAGTAATAAGCTACTTTTGTAGCAAGCTAACTAAATGAAGTCTTGTTAATCAAAACTAAACTGCCTACAGGAAAATTCTGTTGAAGTACCTGGACATCTCAGTTTGGTAAAACTTAAGTCATATCAGAACAGACGTGTACATCTTTTCGCCTCAGTGCCTTGGAATAGATACTGTAGCATGGAAATAGCTAAATTAATAAAGATGAGGTGGGATGGGTGGTTTGTTTTTCACAGATCTTGGGAAAGTTGATATGCTTTCTGTATTGACTTATCTAGAATTTTGAAGTGGCTATGCTTCTCTTGAAGACTGAAGTCAGGTTAAGACTTTGCTCACATCGCTTAGGGTTGACGAATGATTTCACCCTTCCCTCCTGCAGAGTTAGCTTCAGGAAGTTACGTGTCGATGCAGAGTTGATACTAGTATTTCTGAAAGATGTGGTAGTGTTGTGGAGAAGTCTAAACGACTCTGAGCTGAGTTCACTGAAGAAATATTTGTAATGTGGTCTGAAAGTGCCCCCAAAATTCTCAATATATTGAGAAATCTTTTTATTAAGTGTGTGCTCTGGGCCCAGAAGGTCAGTCACCATCACTAGAGAGATAAAAATTGTAGCATCTGAATGAGATACCATCATGCTGATGGGATCTCCTGCTAGTACTGGACATTTTTCAGGTTGTGAGTGGATACATGAGCAAAGGTATGTACTAACTAGATAGGGTGATACAGAATTTGTTTTACTGTTACTGAAACCTGAATTTGTACCAAAGCTGAACTTGTCACCTGCCTCTGTTTGAGTGATCTCTTGGTGTTCTGGGTGACGTATGACCGATGTCATCTCCTGTGAATTCTCAGGGGACAGCTGGCCATATCACCATCCAACTGTCATGGGTATTTCATGTCCCATTAGACAATAGGAGCTGGGACACCCTCAGCACTTTGGAGGGGAAGAAAAGCCTATTAATTAGACAGTGTGAGGAAAAATTGCAGTTCTGTTTGCTCTTAGGAGAAGAATCTGGCTTCCATCGTTACTCCCTTACCAAACACTAGATTCACTATGTCAAGAATTCACGAGCTTCCTAGTGTTGCGTGTATTACTGTTTTCTGGACTGTGTGTTTGTATGCCATATAGATGTTAGTTTTGACCAGTTAAAGCTGAGTAGTCAAGTTCACTGGTGCTAAAAAATTTAACTTCTCATGGTGCTGATAAAGTACTGAATCTTGTCTTTAAAAGGAGGGAAGAAAAACGTTTTGTTCACCCTATAACTTAAGTATGCAGTCTGATACCGAAGAAGGAACTATGGCATACATAAGCGTATGTATATTATTTCTCTAAGCTAGTGAAACAACCTAAAGACTCGAGACACTGCAGCTTAAAAGATCCTGAGGAGTGTTCCGACTATTTGGCCTCATCAAAGCAATCCCATGGGGATCATCAGTGGGGATATATATACAAGGCTAATGAAAGACTGCTATAGTGTATTGATTTGGGAGGATACTCTGCATGCCTGCATGAGATTAAAAGTTCCAGCACCCAACCTACCACTTTGTTCATCATATCCGGATGAGTAAAATTTCTTTTGCAGATAGAGCCTGTGAGTTGAAGAGGCATTGTTTTCAATGGAGTATTGTCACTACTGAAACATGAACTTCCTGCAGTCAGCCGTTGACTTATTTAGCGTATTCTGTGTGTTTAGAGGACAGGTGAGCATATATTACTCAAAATAAAAAAAGATCCATGCTTTAAAACTGTCTTTTTTACCTGTTAAGTAGGTTTTTATAGTGAATAGTCTCATCCTCTTAGTGGAATTGTTGCAGTGTCTTCTGTTAGAGCATTCCCAGTAGTTAAACCGTTCTTAACCAAGAGCTTTTAACGTACATGACAGTGCCCAGATGCACTATATACAGAAGGCACTGTACACTAGTAATTTTCAAGCTATTTTAATTATCCATGTTTTTCCAAGATGCTCAGCGACTACCATTCTCCTCTAGTTTTTTTTGGGGGGTGGCCAGGGAGGGGGAGTGTCACAGAAGAAACACTTGTAATTTGAGAGCTTCTTCCTGCCACAGTTCCTTCCTCAACCCTAATGATATTAACAAAAATGTCCTTAGTCCATGTTAGAATAGTTTACACCCAAGACCTACTCAGTGCATTAATACTTTCTTTCCATTTGAAGCTTTGCATTATAAACTTAATTTTTGCTTTGAGCCTTATCTGCTGTATCTGATATACTTCTGCCTTGGGAGGAAACTCAGTCTGGTGGCAGGTTCAGGAGTTGAAATAATTCAGGTTAATATTGTACTATAGCACAGAGCAATAGGGAATAGAAAGCTACTGCATGTATATACTGTATTGGCCACAGTAATATGAATGCTTTATTCACTGCTGCTACTCTACTTGTCTTGTATTTTAATATTACCAAGTAGAACTCTGAGTGATGCCAAATTACTGTAATGCCAGAGTTTTACATGAGAGACTTTCAGAGTTGATTTGATAAGTATCAGTTACATCTTTATAATGAAAAATTATGTTAATGAAATGTTTATTAATCTGTTTGTTCCATTTTCCTCTTTCTTCCCCACCTTCCACGTTACTCTTCATTTTAACTGCCGTTTCAGAGCTTTCTTTTACAATAAGATAATCTTCAGCTAATGAAAGAACTTAGGTGTCTACATTGTTGCTGTCTCAATGTATTGTCTTCCTGACTATTATCTTTTATTCAAACTTTTCTGAGGTTAGCACGAAGAGATTCAGTTTCTGTGTGAAAATACATTCTTACTGAAACACCCTCTTTTCTTTTCCCCTTCCTCCATATCCAGTCTTTTCTTTTGCGAATTGTTTTACCATGGTGGATTGAGGTATAATTGCTAGAACTACTTAAATGGAAGCAGACCGGTATGCAGTGTCAAGAGTTGTCTCTAAAACAAATATGAAGAAATATGAACATTTAACCAGTTTTCTGTGTAGTTTGTTCAGGAATGGGGTTCCTTACTTCTGTAACTCTTGATGCTTTGCAGCGTTACTCAAGGTGGTTTAGAAAGTGGCTTAGCTTCTTTTATCTTCCAAATTTCTGTTGTATTGAACATGTTTTAAGTCAGCCGCTCTTAGTATCTGTATTTGTAAAGCTGCTATGGCACAAATTTTCCAATAATGATATACTGCAAATGTGTTTTCTTTTTGCCTCTGAATGTCTTCTCCTGCAGGGCAGGGAAAATTATTTTACTAAAAATGTTGGTATGTAATGTATATGTGGGAGCTCAGATAATGTGAGATGTATAGACTTGTTTTTTAAATGGTCTCATGATATGCCTGGTCGTGTTTGCTATCGGGGATTAAAGTTTCTAATGAAATAAAATCAGGGTGGCCTTTCTGTTCTTATTTAGAGACGCTTTCACATCAAATACATTGGTGATGGATGCAAAAGATTATTCTGGGATCAGTGTTACAGGTTTGTATTGGTTTGAATTTGAACAGAATGAAACTACTTCTGTTCCCTTGGAAGTATCAATAGAATGTTTAATATATTTTGTAATTAATGCACAGCTATATTTCTGACAGGATTTTAAAAAATAAACTAATTAAACTGTGTACTGTATGTTGCATCTTTATTCATATGGAGGGCTACTAAAGAAGATGAACTGATAGCAGACCTCTGTGCTTGTTTCTCTGTCTTGTGAGGTTCAGAATTGGCTGGTTTTTAATGAGGGAAACCATGTATCCTATAGCACCAAGAAGGCAAAGAATATATTTCAAAATAAAAAAAGGTCATTTATAAAGGATAGCAATAGTTTTATTCATTACTAGAAGATGTAGCTAGTGTAACTGATAGTGAATTAAGTGTTCTCCTGATCATCCTTTAATTTCAGATGCATCTCTGAAAAATACTGCATACTGTCCCCTCTCTGGCCACATCCTGCTTGCTTGTTATATTTGTCGCAAAAACAGCTATGGGTTGAAGCTTTGTTGCAAGATGCTCAGATCAGAAACCAAAGAGAAGTGTTTGCTTCAGGGCAATCTGCTAATTTATCTGAACCACGGAGGCATTCTGGATCTGTTTTTTTTTTTTAACAGCATCTGCAGGAAAGGAAATCTTGATCTTGAATTCCATGCCCTATAGAGTGTATAATGTTCAAGACCTTCAAATTCTTCTGAGGAAAGAGTAATACCACTTCTGAGTGGTGTTTACTAGACATAATATCTAATACAGTGCAGCTAATGTCAAGTTCATTGTGACTATCTTTCATCAGTTGGTCCTAATAGCTTCCATGAGTAAGGGATAGGAAAGCATGCTCACGTGCCAGTATCTGTTGTGTTAATCCATTTTTAATGCTCCGTATTTTTAAGTGCATTAAAATATTCTCTTGATAAAATGAAGGAATAATGGCTTTTTTTAAACAGGAAAATGAGGCATATGCAGCTGCACCTATAAATGGAACGTCAATATGCAGAAACAGAAGATGCCAGCAATATAAAAGTATGTTCACACCCATGTAAATACCAATGTCTCATGGACCTGTACATTTCTGAAAAAAAAGTTGGCTTTGTACTGCTAAACTAGATGTGGACCAGGGTATTCTGCCTATTTGATTGGACAAATACCAATTCATTGCAGTGACTCCACAGGAAGAATGGGTTTGTTTCAGCTAAAAACCAGCTGCTCTGCGGCTTTTTTCCTCCCCAAAAAGCACTAGCTCAGCATTATGGCTGTTCCATCTAGAAAGAAAAAATTCCTTGTGCAATTCTCTGCTATGCTGGCCTGGAGGAGAGTACACACAGCTCTTCCGTGCTGC